GCACTAGGGACAGGGAATTGTGTGGAATCAAGAAAAAATCAATGCGCGTGTATGTGTCGTGAACCCGAGAGTGGAAGGAGAAGTCCCTAGTGGTGGGATGCTGAATTCTCCACACGTCGGTTAATTGGTGGGCGTGGAGCAATTTTCGTAGGCGCCGCAGGGTGGAGAAAGGCAAGTGAGAGACCGGGTTGGAGGAGTCGGCTTTGGGGTCCAGGTGCAGGTTAAAATCCCCCCAGACTACCAAGGTGCCCTCCCTGAAGTCGTCAATCGCAGTCAGAACACGCTCTAAGAAGGCAGCCTGTCCCTGGTGGGGTGCATAGACGGTCACCAGCGTAAACCGCTGGAGACCTACCATCCCTTTCACCATGAGCAGTCGACCCTCCTCCCCTGCAGACATGTCCAAAAGCTGCCATGGTACCGAATGGGAGATCAGAACACTGACTCCACGTGATTTCTTATCTGGGGAGTAACTATGGTACCCCACCGGGTATCTGCGGTCTCGAAGCAAAGGGGCCCGTCCCTCCGCGAAATGAGTTTCTTGGAGGAAAGCCACCTGCACTCTCTGGCGGTGCAAATCACCAAGCACCATTTTTCGTTTTTCGGGGATATTGAGGCCTTTCACATTAAGCGATAGGATCTTGAGTAGAGCCATGCTCTTGGTATTACGCGGGTCTGGAGGGGGGAGGGAGGGAGGTGTGTGCCTAAGGAGGGAAGGGGGGGAGGAAAGGTGTAGGTCAGGCAGGAGGGGGGGAGTGGGTCACAGGTGAAAATCGAGCAGGAAGGGTGGGCGTAGCTAGACTACGAGGAGGTTGTTTTACCCAAATGTGGGAAAGGGCAGAAAAGAGAGGAAGGGGAGGGGCTAAAGTGTGAACCGAGGTTCAATGTCCCAATGGCCTATTAGGCACTTTCGGGACAAACTAAGTGGGGAAACGAGTCTGCACTTCAGGCAGAGTGGTGCTCCGTGGGGGCACCACGACATGTTCATCAAACTAATACAACAACAGCAGCAATATATAACGGTAACATTGCACAATCAACAGGCTAAAATCAATACCTATAACATAACATACAGTCCCTAGGTATGGCGGTCAAGACGCCTCTGGAGTCCGATGCAAGGGCCCGCCCCCCAATCGGGACGAGGTGTTGCGTAAGGGGTGATCCCCTCCGGAGCCCCCCTCCGGAACTCCGTAAGGAGGCCCAGAGGCAAAACCGCCAGGGGGGTTCACAAGAGGGGGACACCCCCAGGAGCCCTCGGTTAGGGACCTCCCTTATGTCCCCAAGTGCGGGCGGTCCCACACACCGGGATCAGTATAGAGATAACTCGTCTGCACACAAGCATAACACATTTGCGGCAATAATAAACAGACATGCTACGGTGGCCCGAACCGCATAGCTCCTCACCCAAGGTCCAGTAGGGGGGAATTACCTACTCAGTGAACCGGTGTAGCGGTTCACTTACCTAACCAAGCTGACCCCGGGGGAGGGGGGACCCTGCGGATGACAAGCGGGGTCTCGGATGTCCGGGGCGAGTGGGTGGCCGGCAAAGTGAGGTTGGGGTCGACAAGGTCTTAAGAGCCAGAGGCTGGGTAGAGGGGGTAGACACCGCAGTTCGTTTCTCCAGGGACCAAAGGGGGACATAGAGCAGAAGGGAAGAAGGGCAGGTCCGCAGCGCAGACGTAAGCATGAGTGTTTGGCTGGGGGATACATGGAGCTATCTCACCCCGTTCAGGATTCCGATGCTTCCAGCACGTCTTCGACTGGTCGGGCAGGATTCTCGCGGGAAGAAGAGCGACGGGCCCGTCGGGTTCTGTGAGGTCTCGGTGCTGCGGCCTGATCCTCCGAGAAGTGGGCTAACCAGTCTGGCAGTTGTACTGTGGGGATTCCGAGGAGCTCACACACGGCCGGGACATCTGCCCGGGAGCGGACCAGAAACGTGGAGCAGCCTTTGCGGACGTGTAGACGTATAGGGTACCCCCAACGGTAGATGGCCCCCGCCCGCCGAATCTCTTCCAGAAGAGGCCGCATGAGGGCTCAGCGGCGGAGGGTATTACGGGAGATGTCCGGCAAAATCTGCCTGGGGGCCCCGTCGAACTCCACGGGACGTTTCAGCCAGGCCTGGCGCAGAACCTCCTCTTTCACGGTGTAACAGTGGAGTCGGCACAGAACGTCTCGTGGACGGGAAACATCTGTCGATGGAGGGCCAGCCGTTCGGTGCACCCTGTCAATCAAGATGGATTCTGGTGTGGAATCAGGCAGCAGCGAGCCAAAGACGGCCTGTATCGAGGAATGGAGATCCGCTGGCAGGGTCGCCTCAGGAAGCCCTCGGATCCGGATGTTCTGGCGTCGGTTGCGGTCTTCCAGGTCCTCCATTTGTATTTGGAGGGCCGCAAGCTGGTAGGAAGGTCCCGATTGGGCCTGCTCGAGGCGCTGGACCCTGGCTTCCATCGCTGCACAAGATGCCGAGACCGCGGAGACTTCCACGGATACCGCCTGCACCTCCTGGCACATTTTATGTAGGTCACGTTGGAGCGCTGTCTCCACTCTCGTGACCAGGGCCTTTGTAGGTAGGTATTGTAGGAGGGCTCGGAACTCTCGCGGTATATCCGATGGCGGGTTGCAGGCTTGGTAGTGATCGCCATCCGTGGAGTCTGACTCATACAGCCGCGGTGATCGTGAGCCTGGACGTCGGTCAATGTTGCCAGGTGAGGGAGAGCGTTCTGTGCCTTGTGTTGTGGATGGCTGTCCGGCATCCGGCGCCATATTGGATTGTCCCCGGCTGCGGGTCCTGGTCTGTGTAGAGGAGAAATATCGCTGCAAGGACGGGGTATTCCGTTGCGACGGGGTGCCGCCATCCTTCCTGCGTTGAGACATGGTCGTGCAGGGCTGTATGGGGTGGTATAAGTGCCCTTAGGTCGTCTGTAAGTCGGGTGGACCACGGAGCGCTCAAGCCTTGCGACCTACTCCGCCATTAGCAGGACACGCCCCCCTTGAATATTTCTAAAAGGGTGACAACTAGACATGTGCACTGCCAAAATAAAATTCGTTTTGATTCCGATTTTGTGTTATTTTGTTTTTCGGGATTCGGGTGTGAAAGTCAATTCGGATTAGGTATTCGGACGAAATTCGTTAGCAGTAGTTCGTTCGAACGCTCGTTTCATTTTCATTTCTTATTCGTTTCGTTCATTCGTTCGTTCGTATGCAGCAAAGTGACATTTGAGGGGGAAAAAAATGGTTTTTCTCCTTCTCTAATGTCACCATGCTCCAATGAACGAACAAACTAAACGAATAAGAAACGAAAACGAAATTAACATTCGAAGAAACTACCGCTAACGAATTTCGGAAACAGAAATTCGGATTTGTTTGCATTCGCTATATCTGTAATTCGGAATTCGGATACATCCGGATGTCCGAATTTCCGAAAATTTTTCCGAATTTCGATTCGGAACGAAACGAATCGCACATGTCTAGTGACAATACTGTTCATTTTAAAGTGAAATCACACAGTAGTAGTAGTAGAAGGGACAGACAAATTAAAGCCAAAATTAAGCAGTTATAACAACAGCTTATTTTTCTTTTTGAAAAAAAAATGATGTATGAAACGTAATGAATCAAAGCTGACAGTTGTAAGCACCAGTGTCGAAAAATAGCAGATCTATTGGCAGGAAAAACAGGTAATAAAACTATGCTACAGGGGGTACTCCGGAAAACAAATACTGTACTTCGGTTTCAATGTTTTTGATGGACTGCATCAAATATGTAATTTGTGATGTTGCCTTTAGTTCCTTTTTAATGCCTCACTCTAGGCACCATCCTTTGTACACCATTGTAGCCCCTCACAGACCTTTCAGTCACGGACCTTTCAGTTATGTTCTTTCTGTGATGACACTGCAGAAGCGGTACCATCACTGGCTGTGCTTTGTGAATGGAAAAAGGTCTGTTAAATCTCCATCGATGATCTCAGCGATTGGCAGAAAGTGCAGCAGGAGCTGTACTATCCAGGAGGACTAAAAGGAGGATGCTTTTTACACGTTTGCAGCAAGAAGACTTTGCATAACTGAAAGGAAGATGTGAATGGCATATGGGACTACAGTAATATGAAAAGGATGGTGCCTGTAGTAAGGCTTTAAAGCAGAACTGAAGCCAAAACTTTTTTTAGTTTTGGATAGAGTAGGAGGGTTATAACCCCTTTCAGCTTTTTTGCCATTAGGAATATTTCCTGATACTTCCTGTTTAATAGTTACAGCAGCAAGTGAGAGGAAATCTCTACAAATAGGGGGACATCCCTGGTGATCAGTAAGGATACCAAAAATAGTATCCCCATTGGAAGATTTCAAACCTATTCCTGTTCTGATGACAAAACTCATATTTGGGATTTTCTTTCACTTTCAATGATAACCGTCACCAGGACAAATTGGGGGAGTGATATGGGGCTACAGACATCAAAAAAAACCTGACAGATGTTCTAATCCCTCTCCACTCTATCCAAAACTAAAAAAAAAAAAAAAGTTGGGCTTCAGTTGTACTTTAAGGGGTTGATTTATAAACAATTTGAGAATGCATATATCAGTGAATGTTTATCCTGTGTGAATCTATGCACAAAAGAACATTCTTTAGTTTTTTTACATTACATTGTAATGTTCTGATTGTAATGCCACATTATGACCACTAGATTATGCTACAGGATCATAGGAAATAAAATAAGTATTTGTTTTCTAAGCTCCCGAGCTCCAACTGGTGGCCATAATGTGATTTTACAGTCAGAACATTTGAATGTAATAACAATTGTAATGGGAAAAACAACAGAATGCTCCTTTGTGCATATGATCACACAGGCTGAATGTCACAGATAACTGCAGGGTGCACAGCCCTGTTTAGTAATACTTCTCTAAAATAATCTTTTAGATCACTTAAAGATGTTTTATCTGCATTACTTACATTTGCACTGTTTATAAATAAACAGTATTTTATAATTAATTTCCTTATATGTATCTTGTATTCAGGACCCCTCTAAATTTGTGAGCTGATAGAGGAGTAAATACTTAGGTGAGTAATGTAAATTGCTTGTTATTTTAGAAGGTACAATTTTATTATCAATTTCTGTTTTTATCATTTTTTTAAATTGAATGGCTGCCTACAAATGTGCAGCTATACTAATCACAGATGCTCTTCCCCACCATGTGAACAGTAAATGGCACATCTAACATTTATTCATTTTTATAAAATATAGGCAGAATCTCATTAGGGCAGCGGCAGGTGTGGGGGGTGACAGAGGGGCAGCCACAGCATCCCAGGTTGCTAAAAGCTCCTAGTAACCTGCGATGCTCTGCCCAGCTCACTGATGTCATCGGCTGGCAGGGCACTGAGCAGGACACTTTGGCTGGTGTCCAGCCAAGTTCCTGGCAACCAGTGATGTCAACGAGCTGGGCAGGACTGGACAGCACGGCTCTAACACAACCGCCTGTCGCATCCACCACAAAGCACCTTCCCCCATCACTAACAGCAGCACCCATGGCCAAGCGCTATCAGCATCGAATGCCGCCCATTCCCCCCAGCACTATAGGGTAGGGTCAGCCCTGGATCTCACAATAAATATTTACAACTATGTGGTTCTATAAAAGATATAAGATAGCAAACCTTCACTTTTTGAGTCCTGGACCACTTTGAAGTGAACCTGTCAGGTGCAGAAAGATGATTCAACAGAATTCTTAAAGTGTAGGCATGGGTTATGCTTAATACCTGGATCAGGAGCAAAGCCCCACTATTTAGTGGGATCTAGGCAGTATCAGACTGACTTACTCAAGACCCACCAGAGGAAATACATTTGAGGGATCACCCTTATTTAAACCCCTGGCTTTGGGTTAATGAACGGTGTGGATTAATGAAAATAGGCAAGTTAAAAGACTCTGTAACTAGGGGGAAGGAGCACAAACTGCTGCAAGTATGAGGTACAGGCACTTAAAGTAGGTAAGCAACCACATCAGATCTCTCTACCACTTGGCATATACCACTTATCCAGTGCAGTGCTCAGTCTTCCAGAAATCCTCAGTCTTCTCTAACACCAAATGTCCAATAATCCACAAGTCATCTTTCAGCTCCCCACAGCTATCATTCAGTTCAGACTGCCTCCCGGTCCTTTCTCAAAAACGTCTTCAGCTAGAAACAACAGTGAAGGGAGAAATCTACATGCAACTAAAAAGTGATTAAAGTGGTTAAAAGCGTAAAATTGCTCATCACAATTAGAACACCTGACACGGCTTTTGGCTTCTGATTTCTTCAAGGGCTTTCTTCCCTTGATGACGCTGAAATATCCTTGAAGCTGAAAGGTGAAACCAGTAATATTATATGGGACATATTGGTTTGTCTGAAGTAATGAAAAACTTTTTACCATGTTGCCATCTCTTGGGGACATATTTAAATGTTTGCAGAGCTATTCATCCTGCAAAACTACATTAATTCTGTGCGAATGGGACAAAAATTAATGTTACTAGAATATTTTCTTTCCAGGTCACATGTAATCCATTCATAAGACTAGAGTGAATCAGGAAAATACTGTATTATGTCCACTAGATCTAGCTGATGATTATAGGAAATAAGTAGTTCTTTCATGATCCTCAGCTCCACCTAGTAGACATAATGTGGAATTCTCCTGATTCACTGTAATCTTATAAATAGATTACATTTGACTTGGAAAGAAAATGTACTAATAACAATCATGTTTGCCCAATTTGCACAGAACAAATGTACATGGGGTTTTGTAGAATGAATGGCTCTGGAATTTTTTTTCATAACTACTCCCTAAAATGTAACACACATCATTATGTTTAAAAATCAATCATTTGCAGTCATTTTTTAAATATCTTTTTCCAGCATTAAAGAAAAAGGCGATTTTGGTCACAAATGTACGGTTTTGCAACCCAGTTATAATACAGCCGTAGTTCTGTGTATAAATATTCTGCAGGTGAAAGTCTGGTGTTGTGCTGGGAAATGGTGGATGTTTTCCCCTAATTGTCTTGCAGCAGAAGCTACATAATAATGTTCAGGTAAACCTAAACCCTTTCGATGCCAATTATAAACTTTCTAGAATAGTGATGAGCCAATTGACCTTAATGGTGTGATTCTCTGCAGATCAGACAACTTTACATGCAAATATTCAGGAGAATCTCAAAGTGATGAACTGGTGATTCTCCTGATTCAGTCATTCTTATTACTGAGTTATAAATAATGCACATATTGGAAAAGGTACCAAGAACACAAGCACTTGTTTTTCAATTTGCACATTTTATCAATGTTTCTCATATAATCAGAACTCAAAATAACAATTCCTATTTCTGCTTGCTCATCTACAATAGCTAAAGTCTTTGATTAAGAAAAAGCATGAGTTTATATCACAGGTTTTTTGGGGGGGGTTTGTTTATTTGTGTGTGTTTCCTGTATTAGTGTAGAAAGCATACACAGTGCTAAACCAACTTGTGCCAAATCCTGGTCTAGTTTAAAATAACAGTTCTACAAGTGAAACGCTATTTGTTTAAAGAATGTAAAATATAAATAATTAGAGGAAACATCTCATGAAAGAAACACAGAGGCTGCCATTGCAGACTCCCTTTTAAAACTGATTGTTGTCTGCCTGGATCAAGTATACCTGTCAGAAGAATTATGCAGTCAGAACTCAGGAAAGCTTACTACTTATCATTTTCAGTAATGGCAGCCTACATATTTCTCTTATTTCTCTCAGTACAGGTTTCCTTTAAGATGCAAATACCATTTCAGATGCTTTGGAGGTTGAAATTGTATTTCTGTATTATTTATTATTCATTGAAACTTTAAAATTGAACTCCAGGCAAACATCTAAAAACAAAGATGGAATACACATAAGGAAGCTGTTTGTATTTCTGTCCATTCAGATCTGAGATCTACATAGCCCTGCCAGACAGCACAACCTGTTAGATGACACCACCTGTACAAGGGATACAGTGGATTCAGCTTCCAGCATGCTGATTGGACAGTGAAGGATTAGCAGGAGACTGATGAGATTTCTGTGCACTCTTCTCTCTCTCCTCCAATCTGCATGTTCCTTGTCAGCACATTTGGATGCAGCCCACCTGATTGGCTCCCAGTCATGACTCTTCCTATCCCAGTTTGAGTGCTGCTCAAGGTACTTACACTAGTTGCATCATATTAAACATTACAATGATTTCCTATTGAATATTGAGTCACATTAATGTGTATCTTTCTATCTGCCTGGAGTACAGCTTTAAGTTAATTAACCTGTATTTTGCCCATGCTGAGAAAAGTTTCAATTTACAGAATGGACTTTAAGAATCCTTTACATACTTTCTTCTCCACTGTCCTGATCTTGTGTCAGGCCAAGAAGAGATTGTAATTTGCATTTTTGACTTGCTAATTAAATCAAAGCACTTTGGATTGTCAATTGTCTGTTCAAACACTATGCCCTGCTCTATAGGGAAGCAGTTGGTATGTGTTTTTTCCAGACCCAGAAATACTCTGTTTTTCTCAGGTGGTAGATCATGGTGGCAGGGTGAAATTAGGAGGTACCTGAAGAATGCTTAAAGTTCTATATGTAAAGTGAAAAGGTTAGGCTGCCCAATGGAGAGGTAACTATAGGATATTTATAGTATTTATACTATATATTGTGATATTTTGGGAATTTAGCACATATGGTGAGCGCTTAAGGACCACTCCTGAAGCCGACTTGAACATAAAAAGGACAGTCTTTATTCATCTTCAACACAAATGAAATAGAACAGTTCATGCACTTCTTATAATAATCCGCTTTTCCTCAGCATGTACAGTCCTCAGTAGCTTTCTTTAGCTCCAAGTGTCTCAGCACACCTCTTTGTGATACTCACACTGCTCACCTCTCATGAGCACTCACACTGCTCTCTCAGCAGAGTGTCCAACAGGTCCCTTGGGTCACCAACCTTCCTGACCTCTCCCAGCCTCCCCTGGCTGTTCCACATGAGTCTGCTTGTGGCCGTGTGCCTCCTGCACACACACAAATCCCCTGAGCTCTGGTCCAGACTCCTAATGAGGCTGCTCTCAGCCACCTTATCTGCCCAGGCTTGTCATTAGCAACACCTGGTCCCAGGAATGGAGATTTCATCCCACCCAGAGCTCTAAGAGATCTCCAGAGCTCCAGATCCCAGCTACAATTAGGAAAACCCAGAAGAATCTGAAAATCCAGGTTCTTCCTTATAAAATGTTTTACATTCTGGACCCTCTCAGCCCTTCTGGCTGAGAGTCCTAGCTGCCATAATTGCCAAACTACACCGTGGCACTGCCACAATATGTAAAGTTAAAAAGTTAAGCTGCCCAATGGCAGTGAAGCTGAACCTGTCAAGCTTCAACCTCAGTGCTGTGACTACCGCTCAACTAATATTCAGCCTTGGAGTTGAAGAGTGGTCACTGTCAAGGCATACGTAAGGCTGCTTTTCAGACAGGTAAGTATGCTCATGACTGATTTCCTTCAAAGAAGAACTTCAGGGGAAAATGTTATCAAATTGTATCAGTGGGGCTACCACCACACTGCAAGGGTTAAGTGCTCGTTTGTGTCTAGCTGCTAAAAAAAAAAGTTATACTCAACTGATCGTTTGAGCCAGCTTGTTCTTAAACCGGTCCCTAGAGCCTCTCTCCCCCTCATGTGCAGAGGTCTAGGGATCCTTGTGTCATCATGTTCTATACAAGTGTATAGATGTGAGGAAGCTGAGGAACATTACATCTGTGCAGTGGAGAAGAAGGCACGCTTCAGTGACCGGCGAAGCAGGGAGTGGGCTCGGCAGTTCGGGTGAGTAAAACTTGTTATAGTCCCTAGACAAAAAATTTTAGTTAACCCTTGCAGGGTGGGGGTAGCCCCACTGCAAGGGTTAATAAAATGTGTCTTCTTTAAAACGTTTATGTTGCAACCAACTATTGTTATGGTTGTAATTTTGAATGTTAAAAATAAAATGTTTTTGGTGGTCTGTATTTTTCTTGTGTATAACTGGGCATGTCCCTCTAACTTTAAACACCTTTAAACTCTTATGTTTATTTTAAAATTATTGTCATAGTATAATACGTGCAAAAGAAACAACATTATGGGGGATTCTGTCTGTTTTTCAAGTGTGCTCATGACTTCTGTTCTGTTGGTCCTAGGTCAAAGTAACAAAGGCATCAATGTAGAAGTTTAAAGGAGCATTCGCATCAATTGCTTCCTGGAAACATTCCCTTGGATTGTATGAAGAGGACAAGAAAGTATACGTGATTGTATTTTCTTCTCCTTGGATCAGAATGAAGCTAGTTCTCACAATACACAAGTGGATGTATTTGCGGTTGCAAATATTGCAGTCCCAGGAAGATGGAAAACTGTCTTATTACTGGTGCTTTGGTGCCCTCTACTGGAAGTCTCTCTGCTTATCCTTCTTTTTGCACTGGTAGCTCTAACTCAGCCACTTTGAGTTACAATATGATGTTTGCACAGACAGAAATTACATAAAAGAGACTTCGGTGTTATGATCAATCTGGACATCAAAGACTGTGAATTAAACTAAAAGTGCCATAAATGCCGCCTGAGTTTGAGGCAGTGGGACATATTAGGTTTGTTTTGCAGGCAGCCACATCACGTGCCTGTATTTTGCCTTAACCCAGCCAAAATGTGATTGTCAGAGAAGGCAGTTCTGCAAGGAGAGTCACCCCTGAGGACTTGCTGTAGGACTTTGATCACCTTGCAAAGGCTTCTACCATCTGCATCCTCTTTGCTGCTTTGGGGATCTAACTATCTGATTGGACAACACATTTTATAGGAACTCTCTATAGCATCACACCTCCAAACATAATCTAGCAGTTCGGTGGCTCAGAAGTATTGCCTTTAAGTTTATTCTATTAACAAGCTTTCCTAGTTCAGTCAGTATTTGTAAAAGGTTGACAGAGGTGCTATGGCAGTATAGTAATTTATGATGTGGGTATGAAATGCAATCATAGTATATGGCAATAAAACGCCCAAATACCACATTTGTAAATGCCGTATGGCTATTCATGACAAAGCTTCATAATTCAAAATCTTATTAGTTATGCTAGAAAGCCATTAGTCCCGTGATTCTGGACCATTTAGGGGTCCCCTAATGCATGATGCCCAAGGTCTGTTCCATTGCATAGGCAAAGGAGTCACGCATTGCTGTGCAATGTATCCCATAACCTCTTACTCAAATTATTCTAACTTAGGGGCAAAGGTTTTTCTTAATATTCCATAGACCATGCTGAGTAGAAAGCGTCAGAAAAAAAAAGGCTGCTCTTTTGTCATTGTTTTTATCTTTTGCCACTGTTAGTGTTTTTTATGTGACTTGTCTTTTACAAAATAAAGTGGACATCTACAGATTTCTATAGAAAATCAATTAAACGTTTATTTAGTATGAATATTTTATACTTACGTTTAATGTATAATATGGTGTATGTACTTTTTTCATGGTATAAGGAAAAAGGTTTCTTTTGTGAATATTTGGAACTTTGTGATGTCTGGGGAATTTGTTAGTATATTAAAAATGCATATTTTATCTTCCTGTAACCCTGTGATTATAAAAAGAAATGAACATTAGCTGACAAAAAAAATATCCTGTTTCAGGAAATTACTATTCCATTGTATTATGAACGGCTGAAAATAGATACCTTGTTTTTTTAACTTTGTCGATAAATAATATCCCTTTAAATATTTAGCTGCGAAATTGTTTTCTACCTTCTGCAAGGAAAAATGGCTCATAAAAGTAAGAAATAGAAAAAATGGAAAGGGAAAAGTATATGATATATTTGGTATTCCTACACTCAGTATTACCCATTAAGTCGGTTAGGCTTCTCGCTTTAAAAGGCGTGTTCTGTAAAATGGGAAGAAAGACAAAGTGGTTCTGCCTATAGCAACTAGTCAGATTCCAGCTTTCAAATATGTTGTGTAGTATTGAAATGAAAGGTAAACCCTGATTGGTTGCTATGAAAAGCAAATCAACATTCTCATTCCTCCACCTACAGAACACAAATGTTAGTCTTTGCTGAAAAAAAAAATGACGGTGCTTTAAACAGTTATTTGTATTACTGGGTGTTCTTACTTAAAGAAGAACACTGGGATAATAATATCTTAACCCTTGCAGTAGGACTACACCAGCACTGCAAGGGTTAAGTGCTTGTTTTGTTTAGGGAGCTAAATTAACTATACTCACCCGAGTATACTCACCCGAACCACGATCCCAGTTGGCTGTAAGTCTGGTCCCATCGTTCCCCCTCTGCTCTGGCGATTTAAGGTCCTGTGAGTCATCACTTCCTATACAGTGTATAGGACGTGAGAACACTGAGGGACTGGAGTGGAGGAGGAAACAGGGTGCATGGACCGGTCCAGGCTTCAGCTGGGATCAGAGTTTGAGTGAGTATATCTGTAATTTTAGCTCCCTAGTGGGGTAGCCCCACTGCAAGGATTAAGATTTTATTTGCCATGAGTTCTTGTTTATATCAGACCTTGCCTCTTGTAGATCTCTAAACACCCCATGTATAACAGCATAGTTGAATTTATAAAAAGAACATTAGAACAAGAACATTAGAAGAAACAAGCAAAGTTACTCACCTTATACCCTGGCTTTCGACCGACTCTTGTAAGCAGGGGTGACATCACTGGGCCTTCTCTTGGCATCCTGGAAATGCCAAAGAGCTCAATCTCATTAGAAGTTGCTCAGCACTGTGCAGGAGCATTTTCACTGGAGAGTTGGGATCATTAGCTTTTCCAGGATCCCAGTAGAAGGCCCTTGACATCACTCTTGCCTAGGTGAGCTGGCCGGAAGCTGGAGGTGTAAGCTGGGAATTAGTTTACTTTTTCTGCTAATTTTTTCATTTAACTGTGCTTTTTCACATGGCCATCTGCAAGATAGGCGTACCTTGTACTATGATGCAAGGTCTGCTTTAAAAGCCAGCTTTCCCATAATATACAGATTGCAAGATGTTTGTGAACCTGCTGCCGTTACTGATTTTTTTCATGAGTGGCTTCTAAAACTTGGTCTGATCATCATCTAAGTGACAATAATAGGCAAACACAATCTGCATAAATGAATACCAAACAAAAAAATTGTATGGCCTTAAAGAACATATTGCTTGAACATTCACAGTCCTGGCTGCAAAAAGTATGTGACTAATCCAACGTCCTTTAGGAACAATATTCCACATCATTTTCTGCAGCTGGCAAGGCTGAATTTCAGCATATCCATGATAGATCGTGACCTGGGCTGGCAAAGCTGCTAGAACCATGTTGCTGACTGAGTCTGTACATATTATACGAAACTTCTAGCAGAATTAGTCAGCAGTTTGCCTTGCTGCTTTAGCTCTAAGTGTATTGATAAAGAGTGGGCAAACTGTCTGGTTCAGCTTCTCTGCTCCTAGCCGCGCTGTGGCTTTTATGGCTATAACTTCTCATCCTGTTAGCATGGTACTAAGGAAGTCAACAGGGGCAGACATAAGACAGTTGATTGATTGGAGAAAGAAATATACATTTTGCCCAGGTAGCTGCTGATCATACTTGCACTGTGGTCCAAGCTTAGGTTTACTGCTAGTTTGGGCTTTTCTTGCTTGTACATCTCTGTTTAGGTCAATGCATGCACACCCAAGCCTTAGAAATGCTAATCTAAAATTTTTCAACCTTTACACATCTTTACATCTCTTCCACTCAGGTCCTCTGGAAATTTCTATGGGAACACGTAAATAAATCTTTATGGCGAAGACCCTTTCAGTATCCAACATATGTGTATGTTTGTAAATGGCTGTTAGGACACCCCTTGCTGGTATCCTGCACAACTGGTGTCGCCAGGCAAGTCGAGCAACACAGAGCGAAACAAACTCAAAACTAAGGGAAGAAATATGATTTATTAAGCGCACAACACAAGTGACAAACAATATAAACACCGCAACCTATTGTAAAGACCAGTGAACATGTGAAAAAGTAAAAGCAACCTAACTAAACTAAACACCAAGCAATGGGAGTAATTGGGTAAAGCAGGGTCCAGCAGGGGTACAAGAAAAGGGATGCACCGATACCAAGTACCGTACTTGGTACAAGTACAAGTACAGATACTTTTCCAGCTCCAAGACTAGACTAGAGAAATTCAAAAGTTAGGAGGCAGCTGTCATTTGTAAGGAGCACACGGAGCTCCTGGGATTTGTACATCTCTGTTTTAATGTATGATTTTGTTTTTATAAATATATATAAGGGATGCACCGATACCATTTTTGCAAGTACAAGTACTGATACTTGCCAAAGTATTAAAACTTAAAAGTACAAGTACTGATACATTTTTGTTTATTGTCATGTGACAATTTTTCTAAAACAATACAGGTGAATGATTTCAGGACAGTGGTGGAGCGCCAGAGCCAGGTCCCAGCTGCAACCTCTGCAACCCTGGTAGTTCTCATGAAAATGCCAAGTATCAGCACTGGTATCTAAAAAAGTATTGGTGCATCCCTAGTTAAGATGGTTCAGGAATGGGGCACACGAGAAGCAGGTACAGAAAGCAGCTTTAGAATAACTGGTACAAAGAACAGCGGAACAGAGTGTATTGGGACACAGGTAAGATGCTGAGACACTGAGAGATTCTTGAGGAGGAGCGAAATACCATCCTAAAACTGCTGTGAAACACCCGCTGGTGAATACTGGAACTAAACCCTTCAGTTCCAGAGACCACAGTACCTCCATCAGGTGTTCCAGCATCTAACAATGGCAGAGCACATTCAAACCACACCTCTGTCCTTATTTCATTGACTGGAATACCTGAGTTTACTTAATATGTCAACTGTTTGCATACTTTTTCCATCAGGGACTTTGATTGTTTAAACCATTTGTTCAATAAAGATATGACAATGGTGTGTGTGTTGTTTATTAAGATTGCTATTCTTTTTTTAAAGAAGAAATCCATAAAATTCCAAAGGTTTTGCAAATGTTTTCTTGCAACTGTAGTATTACTTTTTTATACCCTGTTTAAGAGCCATTCCAGGCAACTCAAAAACATTGAAATAGCTGGTAATGTTATCTAGCGGTGCTTCTTAAGTCATAAACCTAAGTCATACATAAAAACTAAGGGGGTTATTCACTAAGGAGCCGAAAGATTGAGCCTATCCTTCAGCTTGCTTCGGCTGCGGGAAGCCTTCGGTTCAGTCGAACCGAAGGGCTGCTGTACGGGCTATTCACGTTAACCCGTATATCAGCCGAAGGCATCCGAAGCACACAGCCATTGTGCCTTATTGTGTTAGAGAGGCAACAAAGAGGGTGTTCCAGCATCACCATTAGGTGTGTTCCAGGGTCACCAGATTACATAAAAAAGGATGATCAATGCTACATATTGATAACCGAATCAAAAATGTAACAACTCTGCAGGTAGGCTGTGCTCCGTGTATGCATCTCAAGGTTACATTTTAAATTTTATTTGGCATGTACCCTTCAAGAATAGCCCAATACAAAATGACTGGGCTCTACCATACAATTATCTTTACACCCAACCATCTTATAGCTATCTCTGCCTGTGTGTCATCTTATTTCTGAAACTCAGATCAGATACATTTCCATAATTCATTAATCTATCCAGAAATCATGCATAAGTGCCCAACCTGCCATAAAGAACAGTGGTCATCTCCAACTTTCACTCAGTGCAAATTTCCAGTACAGCCAATTTTCCCTATGACCAGGTCCATTGCAGGTGATGGATGCTAAACAACAGAAACATAAGTAGTTTTTGTTAGAGGAATAGAGGTTCTTTACTTCAAAAAGTGGATATTCACTAAGCAGTAAGTTTATTAAATAATGTGAGGCTATGTTCAATCATCCAATATTTGTAAGCAAAAATCATTGACCATATCTAAATTTCATATTAT